GCAGGCGACTCGACGGCACATAACAACAACAACAAGAACATCATGACAATATCAAATACTTTTCAGTTCCTCCAGAAAAATATGGGATCATTTATCCCTATTATGAATGTGTTCTTATTACTGCAAATTCCTAAACTCGTAGTAAAATGCTTGACCCATAATAAACTTTTGGTCTGAATTCACTATGTTTTACTAGAATGATAATAACTTATGGAATGCCTACTGTGTGCCAGGTGCTGCAAAGTACATTTTATATCATTATTTCATCTAATCCTTAAAGCTATGCTATGCTATGCTATGCTATGCTATGCTATGCTATGCTATGCTATGCTATAGATATCATCACACTGTGTATAGATGAGGAAACTGAGGGTCACAAGAGCGAATATCTTGTTAGATATTCCCAGGTGTGCATTCAGGGTTGAAAACCACTGTCCTATACAACAAAACATATTTCTGGACACATGTTCCAGATACTCTTAATGTTGAATGAAAACAGGGAGCTGGGGTGGGGAGCCAGAGAAGGCTCCTATCCCATATATGTTTTTACTTCTTACAAAAATTCATTTTAAAATTCCTGGTGAATTCCATTTGAAAGCAAGCACTAAAGACTATGTCTTTTCCCCTTTGTATCGCTCATAGCATCCAAACTAGACCCTCTGCCCACCTCCTGTGCTCAATAAATATTTGCTCAGTGAATTTAAAAGCTAGTACACTTAGAGGGAACCTCCCTTGGACTATGTTGTATTTTATGTTTTATTGATCATTCTTTCTGTCCCTGGAGCTTTGAATAGAGAAGAACAGCCCATATTTAATTTGCTTTGGGAATGACAGTCACTTCACTTGGCCAAAATGATTCAAAATTCCTATCAATCATTCAGAGCTTCAGTGGATCCTCTTGGATCCTCTTATAAGTCCCCAGAGACTTCCCAGGCACCCCCGGGTGGCCCCTAAATAAGAAGCACACATACTCAGCACCACCTTTATTTTGAACTTGTAATTGCCCTTGATTTTCGTGCCTGATCTGTCTCCTCAATGAGAGAGCAAAGCGAGATGCTTCTGAAGAACAAGAGGGTGTGCCTTCTCATTCATCTCTCATCATGCCTAGAATACTGCTCTGTACTCTGTGAGCTCTTCCAAGACATTGCTGATTGGACACTGTGCTCCTATCTACTTAACTTGTTTCTTTGACTAATACACAGCACTTAGGGACAGCTTCTTAGCAATCATTCCAGGAGCCTGGGGAGATTGGGGGTGGGGTGTCGGTTCGTGGGGAATAGCTTAGGATAAGGGGAGAGGAAAGACAGTTGACATTCTTCTAGCCATTCAAGTTTACCAATTCACACCCTAATGTATCCCGGGCCCCTTGTCAGGCACCAGGAGACAAGGAAGATGGAGTCTCTGGGTCCTAGGGTTTTGTAGTTTCACAGTAGGCTAAGGTTGCCATTCTAAACAAGTTTAGTAACACAATCATAGGTTTTCTCACCCACCAGCTGTTGCAAACATTTAATTTGGCATCTTTAGTGGGCTTATTGTTTTTATCATTTTTCTAGTTTATTTACAAAATTCTAATACCTTGTTTTCCAGACCAGAGTCTTACAATTTTCTTCACCACCCCCACCCATTAAATTGTACCACCCCATAGATTGGTCCCCCCTTCTTCTGCTCATGCTTATTTTAAAGACCATTAAACCCCTTGCCATTGAGTCCGTTACAACTCGTTTTCATTTCATATGATCTCTTTTGTAGTTGTTGTTGTTATGTACCCTCGAATCAGGACCTACCCATAGCTGAGCCTCCAGCAAGTTTTCCGAGGCAGTTTAATCACACGGGAGGAGCTTACCCATTCTTCTCCTGTGAAGCAGCTGTTGAGTTTGAACTGCATGCCTTGGAGATTGCAGTGCAGCTTCTTACCACCAGGCTGTCACATCTCCTTTGCTGTTGTTGTTGTTAGGTGCCATCAAGTTGAGTACAATTTATAGTGACCCTATGAACAGCCATTCTGAACCCCACCCCATCACGTGCCATCCTCATCATCTCTAAGACACAAGAGCCCATTGCTGAAGTCACAGTATCAATCCGTCTTGTTTGTTGGGGGTCGTCTTCTCCTTTGCTGACCGTCCATCTTTCCAAGCATGATGTCCTTTCCAAGGAAGAGTCTCGCCAAGCTACGTGTCTAAAGTGTAAAAGACAGAGCTTGGCCATCCTTGCCTCCAAGGAACACTCTCGCCGCACACTTTCCAGGACATAGGTTTGTTTTTCTGACCATCCATGGGATATTTAGTACTCTTTTCTGGCACCACAACTCAGAGGCATCAATTCTTCTTCTTTAGGAGGATGCTATTGTCTGCACAGTACCTATCTCTGGGAGGACCCTGAATGTCCATCAATTAAGGGAGTGCATGTACATTTCTGCAGGCCACTCTTAGAGTCTATTGCCTGAGGGCTATAGCTCCCTACCAGCTCAGCCACGCAGGCAGGCAGCAGTTAATAAAAAATTTAGAAACCCAGTTGATGTTGTGCTAGGTATGCAGTTCAGTGTGGATTTCTGGCACAAGTTAAACACCTGAGTAAAGTGAGTAAAAGCAGGGGGGCTCTAATGGAGATGTGATTTCAGGTTGGGTTGTGGCTTCTGCAAATTTAGTTCCTCTTTTGTCATTTCCACCCCCCTCTGTTAAATTAATCTTCCAGACAGGCAGTTTTAGATCCTCTGGGCTCAGTTGCTGCTTCTTGAAATAGAACTAACTTGGTTTTCCCCCCCTCTATATGCCCTCATTGCTATGGGCCACAGGGATTAGATTCACTCTGGCTCTGTTTTATTGTTATTTTTTCCTCTTGCAGCTAAATGTGGTGAACAGTGTCAGCAGTTCAGAGGACATCAAACCCTTACCAGGGCTCCCGGGGATTGGAAACATGAACTACCCATCCACCAGCCCTGGGTCTCTTATTAAACACATCTGTGCCATCTGTGGGGATAGATCCTCAGGTATGTGAAAGAGCAAATGTCCCTCCCTTGTCCCCCACATGATGGAGTTCATTTACACCACTGTCTACCTGGCTACTTTGCCGTCAATGAAATCAGAGACCTCTTCGTATGATGCAGGTCTCTGGATGACACTAGCCATCTCTCATAGATGACTGGTGTAGTTCATGGAGAGCTTCCATGCTAATCCAAAGGCCAGTCATCTTCGGCAGTTTGAATCAACCAGCCGTTCAGTTGGAGAAAGGTGGGCAATTGCCTCTTGTGTTATTTATGGTCTTGGAAACATGATTGAACATTGAGTCATTTCTGATTTCAGGAAGACACTGAGGAGGAGGAGGAGTCTTGGTGGCTCACTGATTTGTTGCTATGGAGCTGGAACCAATTCCTAGCTGATCTTTCCAGTGGGTTTTCAAGGTCGTAAATCACATAATCTTGAAGAGGTAGCACTGGTGGCCTAGTGGCAAAAAGCTGCACTTGCAATGCTGAAGGCATGCAGTTCTAATCCACAAGCTGCTCCAAGGGAGAAGGATGGGCAATCTCCTCCCATAAGATTAACTGCCTCTGAAAACCTACCAGAAGGTCAGCCATGGCTCGTTTCTGGGCACATAACCACAGCAACAAATCACACAGGAAATAGCCCATCTTTCTTCTGCAGAGCAGCTGGTAGATTTGAACCACCAGAGAGGCTCCATCTTTGGGTCAGCAGCACGACTCCGTATGGACTAAGCCACCAGAGCAGCAGAAGCAGCAGTAATTGTTGTTGTTGTTGTTGTTGTTATATACCACTGGGTCACAACTCATAGCGACCTTCGGAATCCCGTTGGAAGCTTGTCCAACTTGTGTTATCCTTATTGCGTCTGACTTGCTTGAGTCCGTTGTTACAGTCACGGTGTCAAGCTAGCGTAAAGCTTGGTGACTCAAATCTGTCAGTGTCACTACAGAAAAAGGGGCTGGCTTCCATAGAGGATGCATCCAGAGAACCCTATGGAGCAGTTCTGCACTGTAATACATGAGGCCACATGTAACACATGTGAGTGGTAAATGACTCAACAGTCATCCGTTGGTTTGTGTTATTGCTGTTTAGGCTGGTCTGGTTGTCAGCTCAGGCTTTAAAATGTCTGTGATGGTGCTCAGCAGAGACTGCAGTTCTAAAGAATTCACGTTGTTACTGTGTCCCATTGAGTTAGAACTGACCCATAGCTGAGCCTCCAGCAAGTTATCAGAGGCTGGTAATCACACAGGACAAGACTGCCCATCTTTTTTTGCAGCAGAACTACTGGTGGATTCGAACCGCAAACCTTTAGGTTGCCAGTGTAACGCCTTATTACTAGGCCACCAGAGCTCCATTTTTGGGGATTAGAGTGATAGGAAGCTCTCAGAAGCCTCTCTCAGGTGTTACTGTGGGGCATGCGAATCCAGGATAGAGAGCCTGCTGTCATAAGCAAGAGTCTCAAGACAGATGCTTCTTTTTAAAAAAGAAAGAAAGAAAAGAAAAAGCTTTCATAATGATAAAATAATGTTTCTGGTGTGGAAAGCTTGGAAAATCTAGAAAGGTACAAAAGAAAAATAAAAGATGATCTCTCGTGTTAAATCCTTTACTGTTTTTGTGCATTTCTTCCCTTAATATTTTAGACATTTAGCGTGTTTTGTGAGCTAAACAATGTGCTTTTACTCACTTTGTTGTCTTTGACCCTCTTCTATTTTTGCCCAAATGATTTCCTTTCAGATGTCTTTCTTGTGTCGCCATCCCCATTTTTAAGACATTACATCTCTGATTTGACAAATGAGGACACAGGAAAGGTTCTTGTCTATAGTGACTCATAATGGTTGATTGAACACTTCGTCTTCCTAGTGTCACCAAAGCCACTGCAGGATTTCCCTTCATGGAAAGTTCCTGGTGCCCGGAATTTACCCACTTATATGGAGGATGTTTGTTCCCTTGACAGGTTACTTCCAAATCACAGACTCTTGGCCTCTCTGATTGGCTGTCTCCAGAGCAAGAGAACTCCAGCCACACCCTGTGTCAGTTATACCCTGATGGACTTTTCTCTGTTCTTCTTATTTCAGTTCAAGTCCTGGGATTTTTATTCATTGTATTGAAGAGCCATAAGGGTCCTGTGTTGTTCAGTTGAGAAATTGGTCCTGTGATTCTTGAGAACAAAAAATTTCAGAGCTTAGAGCATTAGGTTTTTTTAGATTAATGATAAAATCTCATGTCTGTTATTTATGAGGTAGTGGATTAGTGTAATTACTAATTAGTTATAAAGTGTCTCTCATCAAGTAACTGGGTAGTGCTAACAGTTAGCTCTTAGCTAGTAGACTAAATGTTTGTGGTTGAACCCACCCAGTGGTCCCACTGAAGAAATGTCTAGTGATCTACTTCCATAAAGATTGTTGTTGTTGTGAACTGTGGAGTTGAATCCAACCCATAGCTCACCCTCCAGTGGGTTCTCAGAGGCAGTAAATCTCACAAGAGGAGATTGTTCATCCTTTTGCCAGAGAGCAGTTGGTGAATTAGAAATGCATACTTTTGTGTTGGCAGTGCAGCTCCTTACCACTCGGCTGCCAGAATTCTCCATAAAGCTCAAAGCCAAGAAAGGCTATGGAGCATCGATCAACACTGCAGCTGATGGAGCTCCCATGGGCCTGAACTGACTTGACAGTGATAGGTGCTGGGGAAGGTCTTGTCAGCAGGCAAGATCAGTAACCACTATTTCATTTTAAGGTGTGGTTCCTTGGGTCAAACTTCTTGGGTCAAAAATAATTACTTAATATCAGCAAAAAAAAAACACCCCGAACCAAACCAAAACACAAACCACCAAACGGAATTACTGAGTCAAGTCTGATATGTAGCTAAATGGTATCCTGTATTATACTCAAGAATCAAACATAAATAGCTTCAGAATGATCTATTTCCTCATATTTCCCAAGTTCTGTAGTTCCAGGCAATTAAGCACACTGCCTGATGTTTAGAGTGGAGGAGATGTCTATTTAGAAACAGTGCTGTGATCGATGATGCCATGTAATGCCTGTGTGGGCACTGGCACAAGGACCAGCATCACGTAAATTTGCCATCCCTGGCTGGAGAGACCGGGAGCTGAATATAGGGGAAATAATGCGAACAGCAGTGGAACATGATGGATTATTCTAGGTCAAGAAAATTAGCCTTCTATCAGATAGTTAAGTCACATCTTAATATTGTGTGTTGTACTATGCTCTAAAGGCCACCGTACTAACTTATTTCTCCAGTGGGGCAACAGCATTTAAAGAATTATAACTCTAGATTCTGTCCATAGTTAATGGTAAAGGATAATTATTTTAGGTAGTCTTCCTGATATCTTAAATCTCAGCGTTTAGGCTAAGATCCTTTTCCCCCTAGGAAATATATGTCAGCTATGAATATTTTTATTAATTATATACTCTGATGGCAAGGATTGAAGCAGAACATTTTGTTTAACTAACCACAAGAGTTGCCTTGATATAATTCATGTAAACAGAATCTTCAGTCTGGAATTGTCTAACAATGTTCTACAGAGAAAGAGAGGGAAGGCACAAGAAAAGACACTTCTCACTGATTCTTATGAATAAACTCGCCTTTTCTGCTAGTTATCCTTTGCTTTCTGCCCCAGTGGTTGAGTGAGAGGATAATAACCCAGGTCAGCTTTGAATGAGTAGTCCAAATGAGCCCAGCATCCACCTATATAACATATTCTTTACTTGTGAGCAGGAAAGCACTATGGGGTGTACAGTTGTGAAGGTTGCAAAGGGTTCTTCAAGAGAACCATAAGGAAAGACCTCATCTACACGTGTCGGGATAATAAAGACTGCCTCATCGATAAGCGCCAGCGCAACCGCTGCCAGTACTGTCGCTATCAGAAGTGCCTTGTCATGGGCATGAAGAGGGAAGGTAAGTGCAGAGGGAGAGTGAGCTCTTCCCTCCTCCCTCCATGGGGAGTGTGGTGTGCATCTGAATAGCAATGAGAGGCAGATTTGGTGTGTAGAAAAGAACCGTGCTGAGTTGAACCATGTGGGGAGGAGAAATGTGGAATGGCAACTGGAATGACTTTGCTGTAGTTGTTGTTATATGTCATCGAGATAACCATTCACAGTGACTTTATGATTCACAATGACCCTATGAACAACTGGTCAGATCCCTGCCCTGCCCTGTGCCATTCTCATGATCTCTGATACTCTTGAGCCCATTGTTACACTCACTGGGCCAATGCATCTCCTTAAGGGTCTTCCTCTCTTTCTCTGGCCCTCCACTTTTTCCAGGTTGATGTCTTTGGGTACCATAACTTTCCAAGTATTGCAACAGAAATATCCCCTCCACTCTACAAAAATATGTGTTCCTAAAGCAAAGGGGCCTCAATCAAAGGACTTGGGCTCCCTACAAGAGGTACCAGGGGAGTGTGAATCTTCCTTAGCTAGATTTCCAGTGTGTTCCACCCTCCCCTTCCCTGCCCAGCTGGTCAGGGACTAAGGACAGGGCTCCTCCCCATTCACTCACAGTTACTGAGTAATGTGCTTAAATTCAATGAGTCTCCACATCTGATCTAGAATAGGAGAATAAATAGGGAAGAGCTCACTCTGCATTTCTGAGGCTGAGAGAACTGAAAAACAATTTTAAGCCTCAAGTCACAATATTCAAAGAGGCTATGGGAAATATGGTGAATGACCTAGAAAGCATCAAAAGAAGATGGATGGAATACACAGTCATTGTACCAAAAAGAACTGACTGACACTAAAACAGTTTAGGAAGTACTATACAAGCAGGAGCCAATGGTAATGATAAAGAATGTGGAAACTGCATTGAAGGCATTGGCAGGAAAATAAGGCCCCAAGAATAGATGGGATACCAAGTGACTTGTTTTGATTAGTAGATGCAGCCCTGCGTGCACTCACCAGTCTATACCAGGAAATTTGGAGGACAGCTGTTTGGCCATTGGACAAGAAGAGGTCCATATTTATTCTCATTCTAAAAAAAAAGGTGATCCAACAGAATGTGGAGACTATCAAACAATACAATTAACATCATATGCAAGCAAGATACTGCTGAAGGTCATTAAAAAAATCGCTAGAACAGTACATAGATAGAGAACTTTTAGAAGTTCAACCAGGATTTAGAAGAGACTGTGGCACTAGGAAGATCATTGCTGATAACACAATAGACCACGAGGTTGTCATGTGGACAGAGCAAGGGAATACTACATGGTTTAAAATTAAGAAGGGACTGAGTCAGGGTTGTATTCTCTCCCCATACCTATTCAATTTGTATGCTGAGCAAATTATTCAAGAAACTGGACTCTATGAAGAAGAATGTGGCCTCAAGATCAGAGGAAGACTCATCAATAACCTGCATTATGCAGATGACACAACCATGCTTGCTAGAAGTCAGGAAGACTTGAAGTACTTGTTGCAGAAGGTAAAGAATACAACCTTCAATATGGATTATATTTCAATGTCAAGAAAACAAAGATTTTTACTACTGGACCAATAGGAAACATCATGATAGATGGAGAAAAGAGTGAAGCTGTCAATAATTTCGTTTTACTTGGATCCACAATCAGCACCATTGGTACCAGAAGTCGAAAGATCAGGAGATGTATTGCCCTGGGAAAGTCTGCAGTTAGGGATCTCTCCAAATTATTGAGGAGTAACGATGTCAGTTTGAGGACTAAGTTGTGTCTGATTCAAGCCATGGTCATTCCGATCACTTGTTATGCATCTGAAAGCTGGACAATGAATACAAATGACAGAAGAATAATAGATGTCTTTGAGCTGTAGTATTAGAGAAGAATGCTGAACAGGCAAAGATGATAAAGCTTCACATCACATACTTTGGGCATGTTGCTAGGAGGGGCTATTCCTTGGAGAGGGATAGGAAAGGCAGAAGTTTGGCAAAGGAGAGGAAGACCTTTGACCAGGTGGATTGACATAACTGCTTCAATGGACTCTAGAGTGTCAGGAAGAGTGGAGATGGCATAGGATGGTACAAGGCTCAGATCTGTTGCTCATAGGGTTGCTATGGGTCAAACTCAATTCGATGACACCTCACGACAACAACAGCAAAGGGGTAAGGAGAGCTCTGGTGGTCTAGTGCTAAGAATCTATGCTGCAATCCTGAAAACACACAGCATAGGGTTCAAATTTACTGGTTGCTCCACAGAAGAAAGATGGGCAATTTCCTCCCATGTGATTTCCTGCCTCTGAAAACCTGCCGGAGGGTCAGCTATAGGTTGGTTGCAACCCAAAGGTGCACAACAACCACAGCAGCAAAGAAGAAGTCCTGGGTGGTCCAAACAGTAGACACATGGCTACTCACTTAAAGATGGATCGTTGAACTTATCCAGAGCCATTTTGGAAAGAAAGACTTAGTGACCTATTTCCCAAAGTTTACAGCCATGAAAACTTACAGAGCCCAATTCTACTCTGCAAAGTGTGGGGTCTCCATGAGCTGGAATTGACTCTATGGTGACTGGTATAACAAAGAAAGCAAGAAATGCCCTTTCCTTGAGCCCGTACAATGGTCCCCTAAGTTGGGCTCACTAAACTGAGTCTTCTCACTTGCTGTTCCAGTGGACAGGCCACAAGTCCAAGAACCAAGGATTCTGGTTGTATGCTTCCCTATAAGTGGCACATCAGGCTAATGACATTCAAGGTAAAATTTACTTTTCTCCCAAAGTCGCACCTTGGTGAAACTTGCTGGTTTGAGCCCACCATATATTTCATGGTCTTTGGGGGATATTTAGCGTTACTTAGGTCTGAAAAAGCCACCCATCTCATACAGATAGACATCATTGTACATTTAAACAGGCACATCTTGCAATTTATAGTGTAGGCTAGCTGGATTTATTTAGAATCAAGTTGTTGTTGTTAGGTGCTATTGAGTCATAGACGATTCATAGCGACCCTATGAACAAAAGGCCTGAGCATTGTTCATAGAGTTTCCAGAGGCAAGCCAATTTGGAAGTGGATGCCACTCCTGCTTCCAAGCTTGTTTTAATTGGGAAGCTCTACCAAACACTGTCCACCATGGGTCACCATTATCACATTTGACACATTAGTGACTTAAGCAACCACAAGCTACCTCTGTACAGCAATGCACAGACCAGGGCTATACCACCTAGAAGAACGTTTGACAGAAAAACAATTTGAATCAGGCCTGAGGGCCACAGATTAAAATTACTCACCTTGGGCTTAGTAGCATAAAGTTCTGTCCACTAGAACAACGTAGCTCTCTCTATGTTGCCGTTACATTTAAACAGGCACATCTTGCAATTTATAGTGTGGGCTAGCTGGATTTATTTAGAATCAAGAAAAAAGAAAATTGAAAAGATTTTCTACTCCTTTAAAGTGTCAAAAATTCTTTCTTTTAAGTAGCAGAAATAAACTTACACAGTTAATGTATTTGTGAATTCCAGATGGTATTTGGTGAATCTTAATACATTTTGGATAAGGAAGTCCTGCTTTCCTGCCATGTTGTTGTTGTGTGCCATCGATTTGGAACTGGTCCACAGCTGACCCTCCAGTGGGTTTACAAAGGCGAGAGAAGATTGCCCATCCTTCTCCTGTGGAACCATGGGGGATTTGAACCATGTGCCTTTAGGATTACAGTGCAGTTTCTTACCACTAGGTCACCAGAGCTCCCACACAAAGCTATATAGAGTGGTTTCATACAGAGTTACCTATAGACAATGTTTTATCTGGGACAGATGCTTACTGTTCCGTTTATTTCCTGAAAGAGGAAACAGAGGTTTAAAGAGGCAAGGAACCAACATATACTTAACAAACTAACGGCAAACCATTAATAAGACTGGGACCCTCTGGCTCTCAGAATACAAAATAACCTTTAGGGGTTTTGAGGAAATCTCCTTCCATGAATCTTGGTTCTTTATGTTTCAATTTGAGGCTAGAAAATAGAGATCTTTAAGGAAATTTTCAAACACCATTTGACATCCTTGAGCCTCATGTGGTCTCTTTATCAAAACATCTTAGAGGCAGTACAGAGAATATAGTGGTGGGCCTGGAAGAGAGGCAGTCTGGGTCCAGATGCTGGTTTCACCAGATTCTTGCTCTGTGACCTCAGGCAGGTGTCTTAACTTCTCTGTGGCTCACAGTACCCGATGAAGGGGATTAGTGAGTGCTTTAAGTAAACTAGAGAATGTGCAAAATCTTGAACATAATTTTTTATACAGAGAAAGAGTTCCATCTATTTTGGCTATTTCAGTAAATGCACAATCACATAATGGCAATATCCCAGTATGTCTTTCACAGAGAAGATACCCTCCACTAACAGTTATCTAACTCTTTATTTAGGACAGTAAGATTTTTTTTGAGTCAAACCAATTTTTTTTAAAAATTCTTTTTATCTTTCTGAGAACATAAAGAGGACAAGCATCTAGTAAAGGGTCTCTCACTTAATGACAAAAATCAGAATTGGAACCTCATTTTTTGAACCCAAGACTTACACTTGTTTTCCTGAATGTCACAAATGCCAAGAAGAAATCAATCTTGCATCTAACTCATTCTCCTCCGCCCCTATATTTTACAGCAAATAGAAGTTTGGCCATCTTTTTAAGAAAAATAACACAAGCAGCATTCAACTTTAGCTACTAAATTCAACAGACAATAATAATAATACACATTGTAGGATTTTTGGTTGCTGAACAAAGACCAACAAAGTGGACACAAAGAAACGATGAGAGGGAAAGAGAGGAAGAGGGACAAGGAGAGAGGGAGGAAGATACCAAAATGGGAAATGGAGAAAAGACTGAAGAAAAGCCCAAGGGGATAAAGATAGATGTAGGGAAGGGGGAAAGGAATCACTCTTCACTGAATTTTAATAATTATTTTACTAAATCCTCACAAATCCTCTCAAGTTAAGTATTATAATCTCCACATTATAGATAGAGAAACTGAAGCTTAGAGTTAGTAATGTGTCCAATATCATTTAACTGTTGTTGTTACGTACTGTCCAGTTAGAAGCAAATCATACTTGGTTTTAAGATATTGTAAATCCCATGGGAGGAGATGGCCTGTCTTTCTTCCATGGAGCACAGGTAAATCTGAACTGTATGCCTTTGGGTCATCGGTGCATCTCCTTGACACTAACCTACATTTCGAGAAGAGATCCATTTGAATTAAAACTACATGGTCCATTCTCCTACTTTCTCCTCTGTTCTTTCTCCTTCCTGTTCCCCCCAGCTTTTTCTCAGTCCCTTAATTTCCCCCAATCTCCTTTACCTCTTGTGTGTTCTCTCTCTCCCTCCCTTTAAACCACAGAATATCATTCTCATTTGGAGGTATTTGGACATTATCTCCTGGTGACTTGGAAGTGTAAGCTACATCCTTGAAGTCATCACTTCTCTGACTTTCAGAGGTCGATGATACTGCTCACTCAACAAACTCATTGCCCGGCGTCCCTGTTCAAGTTCACCCTGTAGCTCACATGGCTCTTTGGCCCTCAGAGAGTACAAGGTGTCTTTTTGCAAGTGGACTGTGAAGATGGAGAGAAGCTGAGAACAAAAAATTGCTCTCAGTGTAGCTGTCATTTTCAATTTAGCCATATACGTAAAGTGTGATTTCCTTGATTCTTACATTTAGAAAACTGCATCCTCATTATGAATTCCACTTATTGCTATTGGGAATCGCTTCTGTATGCTTGGGGTTTCAGAAGCTATACATTATATGGAGATTGCCTATCTTTCTCACAAGAAACAGCTGATGGATTAGAACCACCCTCTTTGGGTTGGCAACTCAACTCCTTACCCATTAGGCCACCAGAGCTGGGGGAAACAAGATGAAAAGTATATCCTTCTAGATAATGGAAGCTAACCAGAGACAGTTCTCTCACTGAAGAGGACAGAATTTTGAAAATCTGTCTTAACCGTGTAGCCTTGATGGTGCAGTAGTTAATTAAGTATTCAGCTGTTAACCGAAAGTTAGAGACTCAAAAGCACTGGCTGCTCTTTAGGTAAAAGATGAAACAAGTCAGTTTCCATAAAGAGTTGCAGCCTTGGAAACCCTATGGGTTTGATCTACTGTCTTATAGGATCACTGTGAGTCATGATTGACTTGGTAGAAATTAGTTTGATTTTGGCTGCCTTGGTATACAAATGCAGAGAGTCTTGAGAATTGGAATATATGTCGATAAAAACCCTTGAAAGACTGAAATAATTCCAATCTACACTTTTCCCTCTCTGCCCTCCCCCAATCCCATTCAGCCACTGTTTCTGAAATGTCATCTGGGCGAGACCACTCCGCCCTTGCATTTACCCACTTACCCACAGCCAATTCCCCAAAGATTTTCCCTGACAAGTCAGATCAGGTGTTCAGGCCTGTGTATGAAGGGCAGACCTAATGGGACGTGAATGCCACGGATGATGCATGGGACCCAGCAGAGGGAGTTTTCACAGTGATGCACTTGCTACTTAACTCTTACATGCTCACAGTTTATCAGAGAAAGCAGGCAGAGGAAAGGTGTGGGAGACTGCAGGGCCAGCAAGGGAGTGCTGGATTGTCAGGAGGAAAGCAATCTATAAGCACCATTTGAGGTAGTTGCTGTTGTTAAGTGCTGTTAAGTAGGGTCTGATTCAGAGCAACAATGTGAATGACAGATCTGAAACCTGTCCTATCCTGTGCCATCTCACGGAACAATGCACTTGAGCACGTTGCTGCAGTCACCATGTTAATCCATCTTGATGGGGAATCTTCCTCCAACCTTCCAAGAATGATATCTTTAAAATGCAAACTACTAAGTTAGCATTATAATGGAAAAAGAAAGACTAGAAGACCACATAGTTCTACTCAGGCTTAAGCAAGTGGCTTTTTCCCCCTAGCTTCATCTGCCAACTTTACCGCATCCCTGATTTAGCACCATGATGATCCCCATTTCACAGATGAGGAAGTTGAGGGTAGAAAGGTCAGCGAACTTTCTGGTGGTTGTCTTTGTAACCTCTTCATGTCTTTATGCCTGTCAGCTGTGCAAGAGGAGAGACAGAGGAGCCGAGAACGGGCTGAGAGTGAAGCGGAGTCTGCCAATAGTGGTCATGAAGACATGCCTGTGGAGAGGATTCTAGAAGCTGAACTTGCTGTTGAACCAAAGACAGAATCCTATGGTGACATGAATATGGAGAACTCAGTAAGTGGCCTTACTCCATTGGGCTTTCATTTCTTAGATGGGGGGTTGGAGATGGGAGAGGGGGTTATCTTAGCATCCAAGTCCTATCCATCAGAATATTTTATTCCTTTCACAGACAAATGACCCAGTCACCAACATATGCCATGCTGCCGACAAACAGCTTTTTACCCTTGTTGAATGGGCCAAGCGCATTCCCCACTTCTCTGACCTCACGTTGGAGGACCAGGTCATTCTGCTCCGAGCAGGTAAAGCATACTCTCTTCCCTTGATTCCTGGTCAATTACCTGGGCTACTGTACAAAAGTACCATTGGGATGCTGAAGGCAAGCATCTGATGAACTCTAACTCATTTGTTTCTTAGTGGAGAAGCAGGACACTTTCCACATAAATTTACAAATAATTTGCAAAGATTGTTAAATTACTTTTATTGATGGTAATCTGAAACCCATTTTTAATATCCACTGTCACTAAGTCTGATCTGCCTCCTTGGAAGCCCCATGGGGCAGAGTAGGACTACTTCATGGGATTTCCAAGACTGTAAATCTTTATCACGCCACGTTCTCTTCCTCTAGTCACATAAGTCTTTTGGTCTAGTTAAAAGGTTTTGCATGAGGATAATTAAGTGTTCTGGGATTCCTGTTCTTCTCAATGTTAGCCATAGTTGGTTATGAACAACACAGTCAGATGCCATTACATAATCAATAAAGCACAAATAGATATTCTTTTGGTATTCTCTGCTTTCACCAAGATCTATCTGACATCAGCAATGATATTCCTGGTGTCACGACCTCTTCTAAATCCAGCTTGAATATCTGGAAGTTCTCTGTCTATATACTGTTTGAGTAGTTTTTGAATGATCTTCAACAGGATTTTGATTACTTATCATATTAATGATACTGTGTGATAATCTTCATATTTTATTGGGTTATCTTTCTTGAAAATGGGAACAACTGTGGATCTCTTCCAGTCAATTGTCCAGGCAGCTATCTCCAAGTTTCTTGGCATGGACTGGTGAGCATGTCCAGGCCTGCATCTGTTAGTTCAAGCATGTCAGCTAGTATCCCATCAATTCTGGGGGCCTTATTTTTCTGTCAATGCCTTCAGTGTAGCTTGAACTTCTTCCTTCATTGCCATTGACTCTTAATCATATTGTACTTCCTGAAATATTTCAGTGTCTGCCAATTCTTTTGGTACAGTGATTCTGTGTATTCCCTCTATCTTCTTGGTTTTTAAAAAATATTTTCTACTGGTTTATTTACAAAATTTGAATATATTATTTTTAAGAACAAATTCTTTCAATTTCCCTCACCTCCCCGTCAAATTGTACAACCCCATGATTAATCCCCCTCCCCCTGAACACCCTCATCCTTCAGCTTCCAGTCTCTCCCACCCCTCCTGGATCCTTGTACTCATTCTACAATAATGGTTTTATACAATATTTATCCTTATGGGACTGAGTTTGTTCACTCAGCATAATGCTCTCCAGTCTCTCTCATTAGGTAATAATTTACAAAATCATTGTTCCTGCATGCTGCATAATATTCCATTGTGTGAATGTACCATAATTTCTCAATCCATTCATTTGTGGTTGGGCTGCTTCCATGTTCTTGCAATGGTGAATAATGCTGTTGTGAACATTGTTGTACAAATCTCTGTTTGTGCCTCAGTTCTCATTTTCTCGGGGTATATTCCAAGTAGTGGAATAGGTGTGTCATATAGAATTTCTATGTCCAGCTTTTTGAGGAAGCACCAAACTCCCTTCCAGAATGGTTGTACCATTTTATAGTTTCACCGACAGTGTGTCAGAGTTCCTTTTTTGCCACATCCTCTCCAACATTTCTTACTTGCTTCCCTGTTAAAACTTTGTCACTGTTACTGGAATGAGATGGTACCTCATTGTGGTTTTGATTTGCATCTCTCTTATTGCCAGTGAATTGGAGTATTTCTTCATATGTCTGTTTGCCATTTGAATGTCTTCCTCTGTGAAAATTCTTTCCATGTCATTTGCCCATTTTGTAATTAGGTTAACTGTCTTTTCCTTGTGGAGGCCCAGGAGTATTCTGTAAACTATTGTTATAAGATTCTTGTCTGAGATGTTGTTACCAAATGTTTGTTCCCAGTCTGTAGGTTTTCTTTTCACCCTGCTGGGAAAAGTTTTTGATGTACACATGAATTTAATCTTCGAAAGGTCCCATGCATCAATTTTATCCTCTTCACATTTTGCACTTCTGGCTGTATTTGACAGTCTCTTTATTCCTTGGACTGTGATAACCTCCATCTTTTTTTGATGCTTCCTGGATCATTCAATGTAGTTCCCACAGTATCTGTTAGTATTACAGCTCAAGGCTTGATTTTGTTCTTCAGTTCCTTCAGCTCGAGACATGCTGAGCGAGTTCCTACCTTTTTTTTTTTTTCAAATTCAATTATATGTAATATTCTATTGTGTGAATGTACCATAATTTCTCTATAACAAATACTTAATTGTTTTCATGCAACACCAAGACCTAGACCAAGAGGCTGCTTTGCTAATAGAGCAGTAGAACAATACATGGTTTAAAAGTAAAAAAGATGTACATCAGGGTTGTATCCTTTCTCCACACCTATTCACACTGTACACTGGGCAAATTATTTGAGAAACTGGATTCCATGAAGAAGAATGTGGCATCATGAAAAAACCTTGCTTGCTGAAAGTCAGGAGGACTTGAAGTATTTTCTGTAGACAATCAAAGAATTTAGTGTTCAATATGGATTGCATCTTTTTTTTTATTTTAAAATTCTCTTTATTTCAGATCTGCCCTTACATACAGTCATCATAAAAAAAAATGCACACACACTGGAGATTCTCCAAGGAACAGGACCTAGGAATAAAATTTGAGGGTAACAAGGAGAAATGAAATTGTCCCAGATAAGTTTTGAAGGAGGATCACACTTCCTTAAATGTCCTTGATAACTTCTTCAAGTTCTTCCTTTGTGAACATGTGAAAATTCTGGCCAGGCTGCACTGTGGCTAGCTCTATGTTAGTTGTATTCAGCTTTCCCTCCATTACTTGTTTGAGAATGATGAGAGGAGACTTAATGGCTTCTTTCAGTGTCATAGACTTGTGGTAAACTTCTTGCAAGGAGCTCTGAGCACCTTCTGACGCAGAGCTAATTGCTCTAGCTAGCTCTATGTTAGTTGCACCTAACAACAACAACAGCAGCAAATTTTTACAGAAGCAGACTGATCTTTCTCCTATGGAGCACCTGGTGGGTCCAAACTGCGAAACTTGGTTACAGATGAGCACCTTAAGCACTCAACAATAATCAAATTAACAGACACTTCATTGTTGTCAAGTCAGAACTGACTTGTAACTGACCCTCCAGCACGTTCTCAGGAGGTGTGATACCAACCTAAAGGCAGGGTCAAATGCAGCAGTGCTCCATGGAAGATGGACAATCTCCTCCCATCCAATTTAATGCCTCTGAAAACCCACTAGAGGGTCAGCTGTGAGTCACTTCTGACCTGGTGGCACATAGCAACATAAATCACATAGGAAGGCTGCCCATTTTTCTCTCTCAAAGCTACTGATGGACTTGAACTTCCAGAAGGACATTGCCTTTGGGTTAGTGCAATTCCCCATAGACTAGGTCAGCAGAGTCCTGGAACTACAGCACCGCCATCATTTTCTGAAGCTGGCAAACAGCAATATTCTCAATTCACAAATGAGGTAAAGGAAAGCCAAAGACTGTTACTCACATTTGCTCTAGATAAACTCCAAGGTCCCTTCCTATTTTAAGATTCGGTGTGCTATATTCTCTCTTGCCTTCCATTTCTGGGACACAGTGTGGTCCGTTGACACATGCCATCTCTCCTCTTTGTCACCAAGTAAGCAGGGGAATTCATGATGATTGGCTAAGCACTGGAACCCGTCCGATCACTTGCTCCTTCATTAGATAATGAGCACTCGCCGGGTATCCACTGAAAACAGCATGCTGCGCAAGATGCTGCTAGACTATGCCGAGGAAATCAAACTAGAGTGTCAGGACCTGCGGCAGAGACTGCAAAGGGTACTATCTTTATCTATCACATCAGCAAACACATGTATAGCTGACACGGGTGCCCGTTAACTCTTCAATCTGTATTTGTGGATTGACTGGGAAAAACACAATCTTTGTCCTCAAACTGCTGTCACATGCTGTGTTGGAGAAACTGGGAAGGGTGGGCTGCCTACAAGTCAGGAGACCCACGTTTTCTTCTTATTGTCTTACTAATTAGGTATCTCATTCTTACCTTCCCTTGATTCCCATCTCCCTTTTATTTTTGTCATCAAGTTGTTTCTAACTTGGGGTTAGAAGTGAGTGAGAGCAATACTTTGCTTCAGAAGGTTCTGAATGGCTGATTTTTCAGAAGTAAACCAATCAGTCTTTCTCCAAGGAACCTCTTGGTGGACTAGAACTCACAACCATTTGGTTAGCAACCAAAGTATGCTAAAAATTTTATTTTATATTGGCTTGCATACAAAGTTCACTATACATTGTGTTTCACACTATATGTTAACTCTTTGCACCAGGAACTCCTTTTATTACATGGATATAAAAAGATCTGCATTGCATGATTTTCTGTGAAATGAGAACCTGACTGGTTTCCCTCCTGCTTATTCTCGTAGGGTGGAATGAGTTGCTGATCGCCTCTTTCTCCCACCGCTCGGTTTCTGTGCAGGATGGCATCCTTCTAGCCACGGGTTTACACGTCCATCGGAGCAGTGCTCACAGTGCTGGCGTTGGCTCTATTTTTGACAGGTGTCTCCTTTCTGCCTCCAGTTTTGTGGAGTGTGTGTGTGTGTGTGTGTGTGTGTGTGTGTGTGTGCCCATGCAGGGATTTGGGGTGGGCAGTCCAAACAGTGTCACAAGCCTAGAAGCAGAAACATGAAGTACATGCAAACATGAATCTAGAGTACTGGGGAGAGTTGAAAAGAAAGATTGAAATTACAAGAAGACAGAACCAGTCAAAGGTCAGCATAGTTTCTGAGCTGACGGAAGAACCTGGTATCCCTGTGGGTTTCCAGTGAAGAGAGTAGATTATGATGATGACTATTAAGTAGAGGGATTGAACTGGTTATTCTAGGTGCTGGGGACTCCGTTCTTGGTTTGGTTCCCAAATCTATCTTCAGCATGCCAAACAAGATTTGCTGGCTCCACACCAGGCTCTCTAGGGGAGGAGCTGAATCAGAAGCAGACCCACTTCAGTAGGACAGTCACACCTCAGTCTGGGATTCTGTATCTGTAGCTGTAAAACATAAAACCAGGTTGTCTCATGAAAAGAACAGAGTGAAGTGACTAAAGAATAATGACTTGGGGATGAGGGGATGGAGAACTGGTGAAAAGGAGAGTAAGGTTCAGTGCTAGACCTGTGTCTTCTTTCCACTTCCATTGTAAATAACCACTGAAATGTCTCTTCTCCTTTCTACACTTTCCTACAACCTGTTTCCCACAACACAGAGACAAGCAGACATCACTGAAGTGGTTTACCCCACACCTCATGAAATTGTCACTGCATGTTGCCCTTTGCTGGAATCTTCTGGGCATGCAATGCCCTTATCTTGCTTTCCAGCTTTCATTTTTATTCATTCCTGAGTTCTCTCTCCAATACCTATCCAGACCTCCCCTCAGGTTTCATTGCCTCCTCCTGGTTGTTGCCCTAGCCTTTGCTTACCTCACTGGGCTTTTTGTTCTTGTTTGTCATTTCTGAGTCTGCTTCTTCAATTAAAATGTTGGCTTCTTGAGATCAGGCACGGCATCTGTCTTACTCATGTCTCATCCCTACCCAACACCTGGTGTGTCATCTAGAAAGTGGGATGTGTACTTATTAAATATTGCTTGAATCCACTTTATGAGCCTCTGTCGTAATAATGATGATTTTCTTGTCATCTGCCCTTCTTTCCTGAGAACAGAGTTCTGACGGAGCTGGTTTCCAAAATGAAAGATATGCAGATGGATAAGTCGGAGCTGGGGTGCCTGCGAGCCATCGTGCTGTTTAACCCAGGTGACCACGTGGGGATTAGCTCTTCCCCTCCATGGCTGCTAGGAGTCTTCCACTCTGTCATCCCCCAGCTCAGCTGAGACAGAGAAGGCAGGGCCAGGTATCCTGTCCCTGAGAGAACAAGGCCAACCATTCTTGGTTTCTGTTCTCCAGAGTCACCTTGAAAAGTGTTTTGAATGGGTGTGGAGGGTGCATATTTGGGGCCACTGGAGGTGAGAGGTGATGGCAAGTCTTAGTGAATGGAAAGTAGTGGAAAATGCTCAGAAAGTAGATGTATTTTTAGGTAAAGCCAATGGGATTTGCTGATGAATTAGGACATAGAATGTGAAAGGAAGAAAATATAACTCTTAGAGTTTTTTGTCTTGTCTTGTTTGCCCAAACAAATGGAAAAATGGAGTTCTCATTTACTGAGACAAGGGAAATTCTCCAGGGATAGCAAGTTCTGATGGTGAGTGGTCAGAGATCAGGGTTTTTTATCTGTGGACATTTCAAGCCTGCAATGGAGAGGAGATAAACAAAGATAGCTATCCAGGAAACAATTGCTTATGGGAGTCAAGTTAGGAGAGAAGCCAGGGCCAGAAATAGACATTTGAGAGCTGTCGGCATATACCTGGCATGGAAGGCTCTAAGTCTGACTGGGATCAGCTAAGGAGCCAGTAAATACTGAAGAGGCAAGAGTGCTGAGGGCCAAGCATTGAGCAGGCTGGAAGAAAAGGAAGAGCTGGAGGAACCATCAGAGAAGGGCCTCAGTAGAAGAGCGAGAGAGCCAGTCCTGAATGCTAGGCAGGAAAACTGTTGTAAGGAGGCACAGAGCAGCTCTGCCAAATGTTGCAGTGGGTCAAGAATGGTCATTTTCAGGACCGTGTCACTTTTTATGCACATAGATTATTTTCTAAGTGAAGCCGTTAGCTCATTGATTGGCTCCATTTTGTACCCTATCTCATCCATCAGTCTGTGCTTAAGCACAAGATAGACAGACGATACCTGTGTGCAAGTTTACTTCTAGAATGTTCTGAGTGGAAGGAGACTCTTAACTTCAGAGTGAAAGAGTGGGTTCATTTGGTTACTAACATGTTTAAAATCGTTGCTTCTGTGTTTATTGGGGGAGGTCAAGGCACAGAGAGAGCAAGGGGTTACCCAAGACTGACTTGTTGATTTTATGATTGTCCCTCTCCCCTATCTGGACCCTCCAGGGAAGGTGGCCGAAGTCAATGGGCAGCCGCTGTGGAAGGGCATCTATCGGAGGTAGGGAGCTGGAGGCTAACTCAGATGTCTTTTGTTTCAGATGCCAAAGGCCTATCCAATCCGTCTGAGGTAGAGACTTTGCGAGAGAAAGTTTATGCCACCCTTGAGGCCTACACCAAGCAGAAGTATCCGGAACAGCCAGGCAGGTGAGAGATTGCTGGAAGAATGGAAATAACAGCCGCAGTGACTCCCACTTTCTCCTCCACTGAGCACCTAATGTGCAGCAGGCACGGTCTAGGCTTTCTTCAAGTGTTACTTAATCCTCACAACAAGCTGAAAGCCATTTAGTACTAACTCCACGAGGCCAGTCGTCGTATCTGTCTTGTTCATCACTCACCACCCCAGCATCAGAGCCTAAAGCAATGCCTGACAAGTAGTATAAACCCTGTGACTGCTGAATGCATGCACACATGCATGGATGAATCCGGGTATGATCGTTTCCAATTTCTAATGAGGATCCCAGGTTCAGGAAGGTTACATAAATTACCTGGGTCATAAAGGTGGTAATTGGTGGAGCTGGGATGTGAATCCAGATCTATCTAACAGCAAAAAGCCTGGGTTTTGAAGGGTGACTGCATTGCTTTCTAGTCTTCTCCTCTGGACATCCCAAACAGTAGGAAGTATAGGCTTTGGTGACCTGAAAACATGACCATTGGTATCCTCTATGTCATCTATGTGGCCTCTGATGAGGTATTGGGTCTGGTGTCAAAGTCAAAGCCATTGCTATTAAATTGGAATTGAGTCATAGCTGACCCTCTGGTGTGTTTTTGAGGCTGTAAATTGCAAAGGAGATTGCCTATCTTTCTTTCTCCAAGCACCTGGTGGAGTTGAGCCACTAGAGAGGAGTGGTCTTTGGGTTAGTGAATTCCCTGCTTACCATACCAACAGAACTCCCTTGGGCTGGGTTTAGGCTCCACAGTGGAGGATACAGAGATTGGCTTAGATCTCTCTGTACTCATAAAGCTGTATAAACATTCATGTGTGATTTAAAAAGAAAGAAAATTACTAAAAATTTTGCACATCCTCCCAAAAGCATTCCGGTTTCTCTTCTCTGGTGGCCTAGTGGCAAGAAGCTGTGCTGCAATCTGGAAGGCAGGCAGCTCGAAGCCACCAGCCACTCTGTGGGAGAAAGATCGGCAATCTCTTCCTGTGCAGTTAACTGCCTCTGAAAACCCACCAGAAAGTCAGCTATGGGTCAGTTCTGACTCTACAGTACACAACACATACAATTCGAGCTTAAAAAAAGAACATGAGGTGTTGGGTTTGTTTTTTAAGAGGAAGGAAGGAAGGAAGGAAGGAAGGAAGGAAGGAAGGAAGGAAGGAAGGAAGGAAGGAAATGTGGTTTTTAAACCACACAGGAAATAGGAAATGAAACTTGGAAGAAGCTGCCTTGGTGGTTACCAGAGATGGGAGGGGAGGGAGGTAATACACAGTTGCGTGAAGGGGTGATTGGGCACTGTAATTCACTAATTCACTCACTCATATACTCATCGCCATCAAGTCAGAACTGATTCACAGCTTACCCTCCTGTGAGTTTTCAGAGACTATAAATCACCTGGGAGTTGATCATACATCCTTCTCCTGAGGACCAGTGGTTGGATTCGAGCCACCTGCCTTTGGTTTGGCAGCACTCCTCCTCACCCTCTCAAAGGGTAATTGATTGATTATATTGCTGTTGTTGTTGTTGTGTACCCTTGAGTCAGAACCTACCCATAGCTGACCCTCTGGTGGTTTTCAGAGGCAGTTAATTGCACAGGAGGAGATTGCCCATCTTTCTCCTGAGGAGCAGCTGATGGATTCGAACTGCAAGCCTTTGGAATTGCAGCGCAGCTTCATGCCACTAGGTCACCAGAGCTCCCCTAGGTTATATAGTTTATCTTAAATAGTAAAGTTTCTGTTTTTTTCCCCTAATTACAAACACAGCACATATTTTGGTAGGATGTTTGCATTTCTAAAAAGAGAAAGCAGCTCTCTTTTCATTATCTTCCCTAATGTCTTTAAAGGCTGCACACCCAGGTTAATGCAGCACAGATGTGAAACAGGCAGGTGAGGTAGAGGCTCTGGGTATAGGGTCTTAGACCTTGTCCAGTGAGCCTGAAGGCTGAGCCGTGGATGAGGCTGAATGCTCTCCTCTCATTCTCACTTCATCTCCCCCTCAGTGATCACCCTTTTATTCATAGCTGGGGCCCTTCAAGCAGCAGCAACAACAAGACTGATGAGAAGTATTTTCTCACAGGGTTTTAAAAATGGTGTTTGTATAATATCTAAATCACATAACATCTTATTTTACAGAATACCCATATTCTGTGCTAAAGAAAATTTACATGTAGTAAAGAATCACTGGAGAAGCTAAATATCAGCTACATAAAAACTAGATCAGGTGCTGACTGTGAAACAGACCACCAACTACTCATATGCAAGTTCAAGATGAAACTAGAGAAAATTAAATCAAATCCACAGGAACCAAAATTTTATCTTCAGTCTATCCCACTAGAACTTCAAAACCATCTCAGTAACAGGTTTGAAGCCTTGAACACTAATGAGTGAAGGCCAGATGAGTTGTGGGAGGATATCAGGAATATCATCCATGAAGAATGCAAAATGTCATTACAAAGACAGAGGAGGAAGAAAAGACCAAGATGGATGTCAGAGGAGACATTGAATACTGCATTAGAGCACCAAGAAGCCAAAGCAAAGGGAAGAAACTAAGGAGCTGAACAGAAGATTTCAAAGGGCAGCTCGGGAAGAAAAGATTATTATAATTATATATGCAAAGAGCTGGAGTCAGAAAATCAAAAGGGCTGAACTTGTTTTGCATTTCTGAAGGTGAAGGAACTGAAGAACAAAGGCAAACTTCACGTTGCTTTGGGTAGAATATTAAACAACCCAGTAAGTATTAAAAGAAGATGGAAGGAGTATACAGAGTCACTATACCAAAAGGGATTGGCTTACACAGAAGAATTTCATGAAACAACGTATGAGCAAGAGCCTCTGGTGATGAAGGGAGAAGTTCAAGCTGCTCTGAAAGAATTGGCAAAAACAAAGCCCTAGGAATTGACAGCATACCAATTGACATATTGCAACGAACAGCCGTTGCCCTGGATGTGCTTACCAAGTGGTGCCAAGAAATCTGGAGGACAACCACCTGGCCAACTGACTGGAAGAGATCTATCCATATTAGTTCTCATTCCAAAGAAAGATGACCTGACAGATTGCAGAAGTTATTGAACAATATCATTAATATCATATGAAAGCAAGATTCAACTGAAAATTTTCAAAAATGACTGGAACAGCACATCAACGGCCAGATGTGCAGGTTGGATTTAGAAGAGGCTGTGCTAGGAGGGATATTATAGCCAATGTTAGCAAGATCTTGAATGAAAGCAGGGAATACCAGAGGAATGTCGATCTGTGTTTCATTGACAATGCAAAGACATTTGACTGTGTGGACCAAAACAAATTATGGCTGCCTCAGAGAAGAATAGGCATCCAGAACACTTGATTGTACTTATGTGAAACCTATACTTGGATCAGGAAGCTAGCTGAAACTGATGAGATATATCTATATCTCTATCTATCTATCTATCTATCTATCTATCTATCTATCTATCTATCTATAATTAAAACAAATTCACAAGAACACAAGAAACAAAATTAGACCTTAAGTCTGTCTCATCTGAATTTTAAAACCATCTCAGGAACAGGTTTGAGACTTTGAACACTAATGAACAAGGACCAGATGAGCTGTGGGAAGGTACCAAGAATATCAACCTTGAGGAATGCAAAAGGTCATTACAAAGACAAAGGAGGAAGAAAAGACAGAGATGGATGTCTCTGTCTCTGACCAAATATTGCATTAAAATGCTCAGAGGCCAAAGCAAGGGGAAGAAATCAGGAAAATCAAAAGCACAAACTCACTCAGCATTTCCTAAATTCAAGGAACTAAAGAACAAATTCAAGCCTCAAGTGGCAATACTTAAGTTGACTACAACTCACAATGACCCTTTGAACAACAGATCTGAAACTTGCCCTGTCAAGATAACAGATGAAGAATCAATGCCTTCGTGTTGTGTTGCTGAAGAGTATCGACTATATCATGGACTGCCATGAGAATAAACAGGTGAGTCCTGGAGAAGGTGAAATCAATTTGCTCCTTGAAGGCTAGAATTTTGAAGCTCCATCTAATATATGTTAAGCATATAGGCTGGAGGGACCAATCCTTGGAGAAGAGCATCATGCTTGGAAGGGTGGAGGGACAGTGAAGGAGAGGAAGACTCTGGATGAGATGGGTTGACACAGTGACTGGCAATGAAGTCAAGTGTGTTAGAGACAGTGAGATTGGCTCAAGATAGGGCAGGGTTCACAGGGCCACTGTAAGCTGTAGTCCACTCGATGGCACAAATTAGTGACTATATATACATGTACAGAGAGAGAGAGAATGAGTGAGAAGAAAAAAAGAGGTAGAGAAGGAAAGAGAGAAAGAGTGTGTATGAGGAGAGAGAGAGAGGGAGAGAGGGGAGAGGAGAGAGGAGAGAGAGGAGAGAGAGAAGCCAGAGAGAAGCCAGTCAGCAGTCAGCACCTCAGAGGTAAGGATGATGCTCTGTCTCACATACATACTCTGGACATGTTATCAGGATGGGCTGGTCTTTGGAAAAAGACATCATACTTGGAAAGGCATGAGGTCAGTAAAAGAGAGGAAGACACTCAACAAGATAGACTGACACAGTGACTGTAACAATGGCCCACTCGTGTCTGAAGTTGGGAGGATGATGCAAAATAGGGCAACTTTCAGATCTGTCGTTCAAAGGGTCACTGTGAGTTGTAGTCAAGTCAGTGATACCTAACAACTGTAGATAAAGAGAGAGAGAGAGAGAGAGAGAGAGAGAGATTTCAAGCAATAAAAATTGATGCTAAGGTTTTTGATACATCTCTTTTTAGTATTTCTGTATGTCTCCATTATATCCAATGTAGGACACTCTGGTGGCCTAGTGATAAGAAGCTGTGCTGCAATCCCAAAGCCATCTGGTTCAAATCCACAAATTGCTTCCTGGGAGAAAAATGGGCCATCTCCTCCTGTGCAATTTACTGCCTCTGAAAACCCACTAGAGGGTCAGCTATGAATTCGTTCTGACTTGATGGCACACAA